ACACACACACACACACATGCATGCATATACTGTGTACATTATAATGATATTATGCAGTCAAATTGAAAAATCTGTTTTTGAAGGAACTGAAGATATTTCACTGTATTCCTTTGAGTAAAAAAATTAGCTAATAAAGTTAAATAATGCAAAAAGCATAAAAATTCAAACGACTAAAAATCTGCACACAGACGTGTGAACAGAAAAACAACAGTGTGAATGCTGAATCACACAATTACTGATTAGGATGAGAAAAAATATTTAAACCTCGAATTTCTAACATGATAAAAGAGTAAAATCTAATGGTTASAATAAATAAGATAAAACAAACCTGATTTTGTGTCTTTAAAGCAGCCCTCCTACCAAATCCAACCACAAGGGGGAAGAGCTGAAACAGGATCTGCTGTGAGGGGAAAAAGGGAATTGTGTTAATGTCAGTGAAGTGTGGGAGAGAAAAACATTTTGATAAGAGGTTAATGAAAAAGTCAATGGAGTAGGAGAGTGTCAGCAGACGGAGCGAGACAGCTCGGGGTCTCCGGGGACTCGGCTTCGCTCCGGAGTCTCAGGCTCTTCATGAATCCTCGCCTCCTCTTGTTCCGCTGAATCTTTCCAGCATGCCTGACTGACGACCTGGCCATGAGAGGTCACAATGCTTCACTGGGCTGAGCAAACCTCTTTCCCAAGCAACACATGTGTTTAAAGAATCAATTCACACATTTTCCTTCTGGAACTCTTYGACATGCTGCCAGAAGTCATGACAGAAAAAACTTTATTTACAAGCTTTTGTTTTATGTCACTACATTCAGACATTTTTAGATTTTTCCCCCCCGCTACCTCTGCACTGAGAAGTTGTCTGTTTGTTTTTCACCATGACAACTTACAGCATCACKGCAACCTCAGCCTGCATCTAACCTGTAACGTTTATTTATTTTTATTTTATTTTTCTTTGATGGTGACAGTTGAAAGCTGAAACGCCCTGCCTGTGACACACTCATTTTCTCGCCTCTCATCCTGGAAGCTGTCTTGCTTCTGGGCCAAACAAACGCACACTTGACTCGTTACCAACCATTTTCTTCTCCAAAACACCTCTGCCTGAGGAGGAACGCCCATCATCATCATCATCATCCCTGCACGGCCGTCTCCACACAGACACGTGCACAGTGACACACCACCTCCTCCTGCACAGTAACCCCCCCTCTGCATATATGCATCAAACCCCCAAATTATGGTCAGCCACTCGTGAAGTCAGTTTTGCTTGGGAAAACCGACGCTGCCAGCTTTATTATCATGATGTTGCCAAATTATATGGTTCTAATTAGGAACTGTTTGATCACTCTTTCTGGCAGCTGGAAAGCATAGCGTGTGACCTTAGTGGGCTTTTTTTTCTCATCTCAAAAGTATGACCTCTGTTTCTGACCCAGCATAAATTAAGGAAACCGCTTTACACCGCGGAGAGGCCTTCGCCACCAGTCACACCCTGAATGTAGCCAACAGCAACAGTTTACCGTGGATGTGTGTGATGTTGGTCTGAAGGATGTGCAAACATGAGGCAGCTACATGTCAGGACAAACTAAGTCAATGCGAAGTCTGAAAAGTTACGAGTGATTAAGTCCAAAATTCTAGAAACCAGATATTTAGTAATGAAGTGCAGTGATTTTCAGTGCTTAAAGGAGACATGTCATGCTTTTAAATCCTTCTTTTTCACATTTAATCATTCAGWTGGGGTCTATGTAAAGTAGAAAGTTAATGCTTTGGTCTGRGTTCCTCCTTATTGTAACTCCACAAGCCCCTCTTTCACCACTTTTCTGAGGTGTCTCAGATCAACTCKTTTTGARGCTGTCTCTTTAAAACCAAATGATGGGCTTCACACCCTGCTCCAATCCAGCTTCCAGAGTGGTCCATTCTAGTTTGATAGAGGGGGTTCACGATTATATAGCTGCGCAGCAGAAACGCTTTGATTACAAATTAATTAAAGATGTCAACAAGGGAAGACTTGTCCATCCAGCCTCACATGTTGGAGCCGGAGTCTGACCCAGAGCCAGAGGAGAATTAGCCTGGTCCTTGCCTTCCTACGCAGCTYCACTCAATGCTAGTTTCCCTTCACTGCTCCGTCTGGGACTTCTCCCATAGACAAGGATTTCACTGGCAGATTTTTAGACGGTCCAATCAGAGAACAGAATGTCAATTTTCTGTGCAGTGTCTGCTTGTAGTTTATTTTACCTGGGCCAATCAGCAAACAGAAGGTGGAGTTTTGAATGTCAATTTTCTGTGCAGTGTCTGCTTGTAGTTTATTTTACCTGGGCCAATCAGTAAACAGAAGGCGGAGTTTTGAACGACGTCAATGTTCTGCGCAGTGTCTGCTAGTTAGTTTAGCATACGGC